GGGGTGGGATGGGATGGGGCTGCAGCATACATACATACGATCGACAGTTGGGTTGGGGCGTACACTTACTTGCGTACATTTTGCATACTCCTATCTATCTATTACATCTGCAGGCCGCACCTCTGGCTGGCAGGGTGCGTGCGACATTGGTGCATTGGTTCATTCAGTGGTTCATTTCCTGCTTACCAGTGGTTGCTTGCTGTAGTTAGATTGATGGTCCATCCATACTGATATGATGAATGCTGCTGCTGCGCGTAGACGTGGCCTGTCCATGAGAGCAGAGCATGGGATGTGATGTGTGCCTGTCTGTCTTGTGTGCGTGGCTGCGTTTTGTTCCTTCCGTGTGATCCATCCGATCGACTCAGTGAATGAGATGAATGATGAACCCATGTGTGTCGCCTGCCTACAGCGATGAGGCACTGACACTCTGACTGACGATCCCTTGATTGATGAGATATATGATTAATCGTCATTTCCATGACTCGTTTGCCGTCACTCTAAGTAACATGTGGATGCCTCAGCTGCCAGTGGAAGACACCTTCGTCCATAACAGAGCATCTCAGTGCAATTGTACTGAGACGCTCTGTGATGAACAAACGTGCCTTCATCCGACCGTGATGACCATCCACAGGTACTGCCAACAAATCTCTCCCGTATATATATGGATAGCGACACAATTGCGGGCAACTGACTATAGCCACTAGAAAACCCTTCCCACAAACCCACAAATAATAGATAGCAGCACACAGAACCCACACAGCCCATCGCTCTCTCTCATTGATCCATCCATTCATCCATTCGCGTGTCATCAATCATCGCCGATGCACCACGGCGCTAATGCACATGGGCACGTAACCCCCCCGCCCCACCCACACCCGCACCTGCTCCTCAACAAGGTCCTCCACACCGCGGAACACCCCACCGAGGGAGTCACTCAGCCGATGCAGCACAGAGTGGGGGTGGTGCTTCGGGTAGTTGAATGCATGAGGGCCGCCTGATCCGATCCATCCAAACACACACACACACATACACACACATACAAATGGGTGGGGCTTTTGTGCTTGTCATGGGATTGGTTGCTCCGTGTGTGCGTGTGTGTGGTCTACCGTACCCAGTTTGTGTATCTTTGTGTGGGCCAGGCCGCTGATGTTGAGGACCAGCGAAACGACAATGACGGTCGTCATGAGGGCGAACAGCAGCACCGGGCCGTACGCCGAGTCGAAACGCGACTGAGGCAGATACCTGCAAACACACAGACAATGAGACAGAAAAATGCAGCGCGCTCTCTCCCTCTGTGTGTGTGTGTGTGTGTGTGTGTGTCCCACACCACCCCACTGACTCACTCTTTGATGGCGTGGCATCTGGCTAGAAACACCCCATAGGCATACAGCACCATCACCATCGACATCGATGCGAACATGAACCCTACACAATCAAACACAACACACCCAGCACTTCACTCACTGCTGTGTCCTCCTCTCCTTCCCCCTTTCTCCTCAGTCACCCGATAGCGGCGCTGCCCATCCCTGCTCGGGCAAGTTGAAGAGCACAACAGCCAACGCCCCCAGGAATAGCGACTTGTAGACGTAGTGCAGGAACGTCCTCTCCGCCGCGAAGAAGGCCTTGGGCTCCACCCTCTTGGGCCGAGGGCCTTGAACAGGCCCGCCCCACTCGACCGGCCCCCCCACCCCGCCCACACGCACAGCCAAAGCAGGGTCCATCCATCCCTCCAGCTGCTGGGGCAGCGGCGGCAGCCTCCCCGGCCCCAAGCCCGCCTGCCTCTGTCGCGCCAATGCGATCCTCTCCTGTGTGCTGATGGCGGCTGGGTCCACCCCTGGGCCCCACCCCTGTGATATGTGCAAGGGGGAGAGGCGGATGCCCGAGTGGGGCGGGTAGAGGTTGTGCAGGTCGGCACGCAGCATCCGCACGGACGAGGTGGCCGCAGCGGCTGATGCTCTGCGGTCGGGAGGGGCGAGGATGACGGCGCCTCTGGCCTCGAGAGGGGGGGCGTCCTCCTCCCCTTCACGCACGATGGGGGCGTAGCCACGCCGACGGCGGGAGGATGAGCCTTCCTCAGACGGACGCCGGAAGACCCACCCGGTGAGGCGGCGCAGGAAGGTGAGCGGGCCAGCTGAGAGAAAGAGAAAGGGCAAATGAGGTTATGGGGGTCAGGGGCCAGGGGTGTGTGTCAAGGATGCACTGACTGACCAGATTGGGCTCTCAGTTCCTCTGGTGTGCCGTCGTGTGGAGGGGACGGCAGAGCGTCTTCACTCACGTCTGCACACATGGACAAAGAAATGGTCGTTGGGCCATCATCCTCTGTGTGTGCGTGTGTGTGCGCACACCCACCCGTTCTGAGGATCCTGTTGATGCGTCCTGTCCGCGAGACAGGCGAGGGCGATGAGGCGTCCCGGGGGCCAAGCGTAATGCCAAAACCTGCAGGCATCGAATCATCAGCCAAAGGGCAGGAAAGGGACGCACACTCAAGGCGTGCAAGGCGTCATTCGGTGCCTGCCTGCAACGTATCCCTTGCTCTCGAAGTCCTCAAACCAGTGGGGCAGCTCGGGCACCAGGTTGCTGCACACCACACCGGCACAGACGGATGGATGCCAGATCTCTGCCCGTCGGGTCTGTCTGTCTGTCCGTTGTGAATGCCGACCGATGCAGGAAGGCTATGCCGTGCTGGTACTTGGAGAACTTGTACACGTCAATCGCAGCCGACGCACTAAACGAACCAACCAACAATGCTTCCCCCACCCCAGACCAGACCACCCCGCCGCCCCCTTATCCCTCCGCCCGTCTGATCTGGCTGACGTACGTGAGCAGGTGTTTGACCCATTCGGGCTCGCTGGCCTGGAGCTTGACCTCCAGCACGGCGTAGGGGAACTTGACCACCTCCTCCTTGCACAGCACGTCGGTCCTGAGCCTGCACCAGCCGTCGCGCGTCTGCCCCTCGGGCAGGAGCTCGTTGACCATGCAGAGGTTCTCGTCAAGGGAGATCCGCACCTCGTTGCTCGCTGACAGCTGGTAGGCTGACCGGTAGTAGGATGTGCGCAGCTGCATGCATGTGACACAGACAGACATGGACACACAAGTGGTTGGATGGATGGATGGATGGATGGGTGGGTGGGTGTCGCCTGGGGCCTTGTGTTGTGTGTGTGCACCGACCACAGGTTGCAGCTGCAGCTGTGTGATGGATGTCTGGACTTCCCTGCCCAGCTGCAACATCCGGTTGTACTTGCCGCTGGACATGGGCACCTGCGCACACCACACCAGCCGGCACGAGTATGCCTGTGTCCTGTGTGTGTGCCCACGTATCTTTCTTTCGCGTACCCCGTCCTCCTTGGCCTTCTCTTGAACCAGATCATCAATCGTCACCTCACCCTGACACAATCAGGGAGGGCACACAGGTCGATGCATCCCAATGGACGGGCTGTGTGGGGAGGGGGGGTTGGGGGGGGTTGGGGGGGGTTGAGGGGGGTTGGCTGTGCTTCTGACTGACCCGCATGAATGCGAGGACCCGTTGCTGCGGCACGGCGAACCTCTCCTTGGTGGACGACTCGCCCGTCCAGCCCTCGTGGTGCGTCTTGCTGGTGGACACACACACACACTCCTCATCTTAATGAACGACATCGGATGGGCTGCTACGTCTGTCTGTAGGTGAATGTCAGCTTACCGTTCGACGAATATTTCCTTGTCCGGCTGTGCGTCGTTGAATCCATACCACCGGAAGCGAATCAGTTCGGCCCCCTCCAGACGCATAATGCGATTCGTGTAGCACGTCGCAGCTGAATGCACAAGCCACCCAGACAAGCATGAGCGAGGGGAATGACCCTTCCCCAGATCTCTGTCTGCGCACGTGAACGTACATGTGTTGTCGAAGTAGACAGAAGAGACGAGTTGTTTGTCCTGCAGCTCCAGCGGCTTGTCGAGTGACTCCATGCGGGACGAGTCGCGGTCACTGCCCACACCAGTGCCGCCCGACAGCACGCCCAGTGGGTCTTGGAACACCTTCTCCTCCTGCTCCTTTGGGGAGGCCCCGAAGACCAGGTAGGGCAGGTGCTTCACTATCAACGTCTTGGCCGCAATCAGCTGCATTGCATACCGAACACCCCACCAAACGGACACATCAATCACATGTGCCAGTCAGTCAGTGCTGCTCACCCGCTCGCTCACCTTGTCGTATCTGAGCCAATACTTGGTCGTCTTGCGCTCGAACGTGTCGGGCGGCTTCCACGCCTCACTCTCGTCCAAATCCTATCACACAGACACACACACACACACACACAGAAGGTCCAAATGTGAGTGCCTTCGGAGCGTGTGTGCGTCCGCGCCTTTCCGCACCTTTGCAACGGTCCGGAATTTGTTCCACGTGATAGAGAGTGCGAGCACCAGGCGGTCGATGTTGGTGCTGCAGAACGACTCGCTCTTGATGGACGCCATGTACCACTGGAAGCCCGTCGTGCGGAAGGCACGGTCGAAGATGGTGCACAGCTGCATGATGGCCTTGTAGTTGACGCGCACATACGTGTCTGCCGTAGCACATACACACACACACACACACACACACACACATGCGGCATGGCTGTGTGTGTGTGTGAGACGGGTGTGGTGCATACCTAGTTGGGCGATAGCGTCTGCCTGCTCGTCGATGTCGGCCTCGACCATGGCGAGGACGGCCTGCTGGTCTTTGAGGTGCTGCTGGTCGCGCAGCGTGTAGCGAGTGATGTACTGCAGATTGCGAAAGATCTCCTCCTCGTTGACCATCGAAAACTGAACACACAACACAACACATCCATCCACAGTCACACTGCCAGCCATCCATCCACTGCCATTCTGGTGTGCTGTACTTGGTTGATCTTTGCCAGCTCGTTCTTGAGAATCCGTTGGAAGGTGAGCTCTGGCCTGTCACCGGTCATGCGCAGCTCCTGCAAGGCATCGTACCGGACGTGCATGAGTTGCTGCTCGTCCTCATCGGGCGGGAAGAGCTCATCCACAAGGTGGTCCGTCCCCTCGGTGGGGAGTGGGCGGACTGATCTGGGGTCGGAGAGGTAGGCCTGCTTGATGAACTCCTTGATGTCGGCGTAGGCCACGTAGTACTGACGGAATTTGGGATGCGCCTGCCCCAAGATGGAGCCGAACACCATGATTGTCGATGGATGAGTAGATGAACCGTCAGCGGAGCTTCACACAGCCTGCCGTGGAGATCTTCGCCATTTTCGCTCATTAGCTCGCACCTCGAGAATTCTCGACGAGAGCTCGACGGATTCGGTTCATGCTTTCCTTTTTTTTGCCCATGACAGATCCCCGCGCTATTCTGCTCTCCCCTTCCTCGCAGAATGCTGCTGGGTCACGTCGCATTAATCCCTTCCCGCATCCAGACCCAACTCGGATGAAATTGCCGCAGGAGGACCTACTCTGCACATTCAACAACGTCCAGTCGTACCATCGGCCTCAGGACGTCCAGTTCTTCAGCCGTCCAGCCATCCCGTCATCCGCTGCCACGCCACAATCGTCTTTCGGCAACAGTGGTCAAGACGTCAACCATCCCATCGACGTCGAACTCAGAACTAGGCGGTGGAGAGAGGGGAACGGGCCAGTGGGTGCGGGTCATACTGTGGTGCGTTGCGATGGTTTGTATGCAGATCCCACTGTGTGGAAGCGCTGCTACCGTTCCGGGTGCTGCGGCTTTTGCATGTGGGCCGTGGCCATCATGTTCTGCTGGGCGTCATCTCTCCAACGCCCGTGTGCCTGGCGACGTTGGTGGGCGTTGCGAGTTGGTCGCATTCCTCAAGGTCCATGGCCGGCGTGTTTGTGTGGTCGCCCCCTCTCTCTCTCCCTTGCCAGGTGTCACAGGGGGGAGCCGTGGCCACTGCAAGGTAGACAGACAGACAGACTGACAGACGGACGGGGGACGGCACTCTCTCTGTCAATTAACATTTTCTGCTGCAGGTCCACCGTCATGGACAACCCAACGCTCCAGAAGTTCCGCACCGCGAAGTGCATGAACCACCAGTCGGGCGGATGTACCTATTCCTCGTAGGCACACACTCCCCAGACACATGACTGACATGAGTTCCTATGTGTGTGATGGATGGATGCCTCAGCTGCCAGTGGAAGGCACGGAGGAGCCAAAGCCATCTTCGGCCTCTCCAGTCTTCACACACGAACCCGACTCGCGGTACAACACACACAGACAGACAGACACACACACACAGAGAGAGAGAAAGAGAGAGAGAACTGCGCGGAGTGCACACCCGCCAAGGTACCAGAGGGATTGATTGTGTCGATTGTTTCATCAGCAGCTCAGCTCTTCAAGGGGCGGCGCCTCTTCCGCCTTCGCAGGTGAGTGTCACTGAGTGACTGAGTGACTGAGTGAGTGAGTGAGTGAGGCAGCGGACGGGCAGCCAGAGAACCAAACGATGGGTCAAGGTGCATGGCTGGCGTGTGGTTTGTGTGGTTTCCCTCTCTCTATCTCCCTTGCCAGATCGCCGCACCGGGCGGCGCCATGATGTCGGGCCGCAGGTAAACAGACAGACAGACAGACTGACGGACTGACGGAGGAGGGCACTCATCGATGGCACTGTGCCCCTCTCTCTCTGTCAATTAACATTTTCTGCTGCAGCTTCACCGTGATGGACGACGACTCGCTAAACAAGTTCCGCACCGCGAGGTGCATGCACCTGCGGTCGCCGGGCGGATGTCCCTTCTACTTTGAGGGCAAGTGCAAGTTTTCACACGACACAGACGTGCGCCGACGGCCCCTCCTCCATCTGGATCTACATCGCCCCGTCATGAAGTACTGCAACTATCCGTGTCCCGAGGTCGAGCAGCATCGCCCATGCAGCGAGGGCAGTCGCTGCCCGTTCGCCCACACACAGGGTGAGTGAGCCATGGGTGCAGCCACTTGGTTGACAGACACACGGAGGGTGGAGGGGGGGAATGTGTGGGAGGGGGGGCAAAGGGGGGGAGGTGTGTCGCGTACACCAGTGGGTGGATTGTGTGTGTGTGTGTGTGTGTTTGTGTGTGTGTGGTATGTCAGCGGAGATTGACTACCATCCATGTTCTTACAAGACCAAGCCCTGTTCCGCCGGAGTTCGCTGCACCACGCCGTACTGTCCATTCTACCACACCATGGCCGACCAGAGTGAGATCAATCAGCATTCATTCATTCATTGTCTGTCTGTCTGTCGCTCATGCCATCCGTCCGTCCATATATGCTGCAGGGCTGAGCCGGCCCTGCAAGCTGGTGCCGACCTCCCCGAACATCTGGTTCCCGTCCGGCGGAGCCTTGGCTGCATCATGCTGGACAACACGGTGCGCGCCGCACCAGGTGCGGCGGCCACGGCCATCCCCCCTCCCCCCCCGGGAGACCCGCCCTCCCTCGACCAAACCGCACCCAACTCTGTGCCATCCGGCGCGGCAAACGCCGATACCGCCGCCGCCGACCGCGAGTGGGCGAGGTTCATACCCACAGGGGCCCGGCTGTCGCCCATTTCGCCCGCCGCAGCCACGCTCACACCGCCGTCCACCACTGACGTGGGTGGGGCGCGGCTCGAGCAGCAGCAGCAGCAGCAGCAGAGGGCCGAACAAGGTCCGGCAGAATTCATCCATCCATCCATCCATGTGTTGGTTGCCATGGCTGGCTCTCTTTGTGTGTGTATGTCCGATAAGGCGATTCTTCGTCGTCTTCGGGGTCGGCCGAGCACTTCGAGACGACTGATGACACAGTGGGTAACTCACTGACTGACTGACTCACCCACCACTCAACGCATTCGTTTGTTTCGATGTGGATGTCTGTCTCTCTCTCTGTGGCTCCTTCCATCCAGGACTTCTTCGAGTGTGAAGACGCGCTGGTGGGGACTCTTCGGGCTCTCAAGGGTACGTAGGTGGACCGAACGGACACGGGGGAGGGAGGTGCCTGCCAGGGATGGAGCGGCGAGCGACTGCCTGCCTGCCTGACTGTGTGCGTGTGTATGGTTTGTTGTGCGCAGTGCTTTTGCAGAAGTGCCACACCTTGGCGAACGAGGCCAGCTGGTCGGGACCCTAAACACAGACAGACACGATCAGACAGACGTCGTCATGTGTGTGCTGGCTGATGCGTGTAGTGTCATGTGTGTGACCTCCGTTCGTGCAGTCTCGCGGCGAGCAGCAGTCTGCCCGGCCGTCGACAATTCACCGAGGAGATCAACGCCGTCACAGGTACGTGTTTGTGTAACCGATACAGCAACCAACTCACACACACACACACACACGTTGCTGCATGGGTCTCTCTCTCTCTCTCTCGTGAGTGCAGCATCACTATCATGTGCTCAGAAGGGCCTGGCCGCCGCGGCGGACAGCGTCGGAGCCGCCCGGCAGCACCGCCGGGGCCTGGGCGGTCAAGTCGGGCGTTGCAGCTGTCGCTGTTGTCTTGGGTATTCCGTGGTGCTGGTGATCATTCTGGTGCTGGTGGGGTTCGGCATGTACCTATGGGCCTGATAGATGGACGAGCGGGATGCCGAGCGGGGAGGCGGGCGGCTGGGCAAGCCACTGCGGCCGTATTACATGTAAGGCCGCAGTGGCTGAGCCGACGGACAGTCAGTGCAAGCGATAGAGGGAGGGAGGGAGGGAGGGGCCGGAGGTAAACAGACAGACAGACTGACGGACTGACGGAGGAGGGCACTCATCGATGGCACTGTGCCCCTCTCTCTCTGTCAATTAACATTTTCTGCTGCAGCTTCACCGTGATGGAGGACGCAACGCTCCAGCAGTTCCGCACCGAGTGGTGCATGCATCTGCGGTCGCCGGGCGGATGCCCCTTTCAAGGCAAGTGCAAGTTTGCCCACGCCGCCGACGCGCTGCGACGACGGCCCCTCCTCCATCTGGATCTACATCGCCCCGTCATGAAGTACTGCCCAGTGCCGTGTCCCGAGCTCGACGAGGAGCGCCGCTCTTGCAAGCGTGGAGAGAGCTGCCCATTTGCGCACACGCAAGGTGAGTGGGCCATCGGTGCAGCCACTTGGTTGACAGACACACGGAGGGTGGAGGGGGGAGTGTGTGGAAGGGGGGGCAAAGGGGGGGAGGTGTGTCGCGTACACCAGTGGGTGGAGTGTGTGTGTGTGTGTTTGTGTGTGTGTTTGTGTGTGTGTGGTATGTCAGCGGAGGTTTTGTATCACCCTTTTGTGTACAAGACCAAGCCCTGTTCCGCCGGAGTTCGATGCACCACGTCTCACTGTCCATTCTTCCACAGCATGGCCGACAAGAGTGAGATCAATCAGCATTCATTCATTCATTGTCTGTCTGTCTGTCGCTCATGCCATCCGTCCGTCCATATCTGCTGCAGGGTCCGGGCGTGAGGGCAGGCTGTCAGAAGCCAGACTTCCCCTCCGAATTGGTCTCCGTCCTGCGGAGCCTTGACGGCGTCATCCTGGACAGTACGGTGCGGGCCGCGCCAGATGCGACGGCCGCCCCTCCTCCCCCCCCCCCCCCCCCCCCCCCCCCCCCCCCCTCTGTGCCATCCGGCCGGTCAGCACCCACCCTCATAGCCACCCTCCGCGAACGCGGCCAACATCCACACCGGCACATTCCAGCTGCAGGGAGTCCACGAGAGGGCCGGAGGGGGCGTGCATGAGGGTGAGGGGGAGGTGGGCGCTGTCGTGGGCGCGCCCCGCATACCCACAAACAGGTGCGTGTGTGCCATACATACATACCCACATACCCCACCTACCAGGCTGTGTGCGTGTGGCTTGCTTGTGTGTCAATCAATCGATCGATCAATCAGCTGTTCGGAGGGGAGAGTTGCGGCCAAGGGTTCCTCGTCAACCATGGACACAGTCGGGTGAGCACACACACACACACACAACACATGCGTCCGTGTGTTGTGTATGTGTGTCTCCTTCTCTGTTTCTTCCCCTATCTGCTCTGCCCTATTTACCTCAGTCGTGAAGAACGATATCAAGGCCGAGAACGTCACTCGAGACCCCCAGGGGCAGCTGAGGCTGATCGACTTGGGCTTGGCCAAGGCACAGGGCCTCCCCGACGACCCAAGTGATCATGAGATGGTGAGCCGAGGCAACGGAAAAGGGATAAACACGCGCCTCCATCCATCTCTCTCTCTCTCTCTCTCTCTGTGTGTGTGTGTGTGTGTGTGTGTCTTCAGCCACGCGGCCGACAGAGTTGCGACTGAAGATGCGCCTTTACGGAACGAAGAGGAATGTGTAGGCCTTTAGCCAGATGGCCTTCCAGCTCCGGAGCGGCTTCTTCCCCTTCGTCAAGTGGGCGAATGCCAACGGCATCCACACCAACGGCACCGACACGGGTGCGCTGTGGGGCATGGGGGAAGCTGCGTGGAAGACGGATTTCAATCGTTGCCTGCATCTTATATTCGTCTTGTCTTCTGCCCCCTTGACGCATGAGCGAGTATGTTTGCAAGCGATTTCTCGCCATTGACTTGATTCACATCAAACCGTCGGTCAATGATCGAGTCAGTCGACACAGACACGAACTCGTACAAGCACAGACAAAAAGGGCACACACACACTCATTCACATGCAGCCTTCCTGTCAGCCACTCAGTCAGTCCTCATCTGGGCCCCACAGCCTGTCCACCTGAGCATCCATCCATCCATCCAAAGCAGTCCTGCCTACACATCCGTGTGTGTGTCCATGTGTGGCTTGTGTGCCTTGCTAGCTGGCTGACCAGGTAATCTGCCACTTGGTCGATGTTCCTTGCGATGGCTGACATCTGGTCGCCGTCATAGCCCATCCCCGTGTAGAAGTCCATCCAGTAACCCTGGATGCGCCTGCACACCCCCAGCACACACGCACCACACAACGAGAGAAGAAGAAGCAGATGGATGCATGGATGCATCGTCCATGGTTATGCCATCGCCTCACCGACCTGTCGCCAATGGCTGCGCGTGCTGACTGCATTTTCCCCCTCAGATTAGACCCATACAGCCCCATCAGTCCCAATGTCTTGAGAATCTTGGCCGTCCGCCTCGCCACCATCAAAGCGCTCGCACCCTCACCCGGGCCAGACCTCTCACGCGCCACCGCACTCGCAGACGACATAATCAAATCTGACGACATACAATCACAAACACATCAGGGAAGCATGTCGGCCTGGGTTCACTCACTTTTGATGAGTATCTCTGATGTGTGTGGGTCGCCCTCGACGAGTGCACGCGCCAGTGGCTGCGGCACGTCGTCCCAGTCGGGTGTCCTCAGGTTGGCGTCGGAGAGGTACGACGCCAGGAAGCCGCGCGTGCCGCCGTGTGTTGAGAGGCATTCCACAAGGGCTTCCTCGATAGAGGGGTCGGAGGGGTTGGCCTCGAGCCTCGCACACAGAGCTGGAGCTGACGAAAGAGCCGCCTGCAGCCATAGCATGGCAAGCACCCATCCATCCATCCATCCATCCATCCATCACACGAACACACACAAATGGATGCAACGCACTTACACAAACAGCCATTCATATTTTGGCTTGCTGACCTTAAAGTCGTCTTCTCGCGTTGATCTCTGCGTGCCGTCGTTCTCGGCAAGCGACAGCTGGGTGTAGGACAGCGGCCTCCTGGAAGCAGGAGCATTGTGCGGCGCAAGAGATGGCGTTGAGGGGATGAATGAGAGGGTCAGCAGAGGGGAGGAGGAGAGGCACAGGAGAGCAGCGAGCGTCCAGCTGCAGGGGAGAGCTGATGGCATGGTTGACAGTGCTGTTGAAAAGAGAGTAATGGATCTGGGGAAGATGCGGCAATTCCAGGCCAATGATGAGCTCCCGAGGAGCTCCAGCAGCGGTTTCAGGGAGCACCCTAGGCGGCCTGGCGGCCAAGTCCCCTGTCGGTCTGTCCAACATGAAAACACGCACCCTAACATGCAACCCGGACACGCAACACGCAGCACGCAGAGGGGAGATGCAGCAAGCTCAAATGCGAGCTTGTACTCGGAGATCGCCTCCACCGTTTCCTCCCGTTCTCCGAGCGCTTCAGGCGTTCCTGCTGACTATCACGCCGGTGGTCCAGAGGTGCGTCGAAAGAGAAGTCTTTCACATCTTTCCCAGGTGCATGCACTCTTTTTGCCTTCCGTGCAGATGTCTGACTCTCTGCCGGTCACGGCGCCTCGTCTGACGGGCATTGCCAGCCAGCCCAGCCCGTCGGCGATGACATCGTCGGTTTCACCATTGAGGCCATCAAAGAGAGCGGCACGCTTCGGCTCATCAGCAAACACGACTTCCCAGCTGCCGCCTTCTTCCAGCGATGGATTGATGAGAGGCACCCGGCGGCTCTCCGCGCATTCATCGTCTTCGACGTGCGCTGCGAGACCAACATCCTGTTCGTGGCGATGTGCCTCGTTAGGGATGGCGGCAGGTGGGACGACTGGCCTGACTATCTGAGCGTGCTGTCTGGTGCGCGTGAGGTGACTCTGCCGATCCGTATCACCGATGCCGACGTGGAGCTGCTGCGCGACTCAATGCCCCACCTTGTCCGGCGGCTTAAGATGAGTGACCGAGACAATCGCGACAGCGCTCAGCACTAGTGGCTGCAGCCGCGCTTTGGCCCCAACGTCCGGCGCATCATCATCCCTCAGGATGAACAGCGGCAGGCGACGAGGCCACGCAACGGCATCGGACGGCCGCCGCGATTCGTGACGGAGGGAACATTGTTCTTTGTCTACAACAACAAGTACGGCCGCGACATTCTGCTTCGCGATTTTACCTGCCGTCAGTCGATCCGCGTGGGACTCCGATTCTCATTCCGCAGCCCCCCTTCGCCCCCGCTCAACGGTGTCTATCTGAGTGTAATGCGGTTCCTCGCCAACCAGGCGCGACCCCTCACACCCACTTACGCTGCGCAGCTTGAAAGGCCACCAGCTTTGACCCAATACGGCGCCGCGGCGAGTGAGTCGATGCCGTTCGTCTTCGTGCTGCGTGAGGGCTTCGATGGTCCTCCCTGCGTCGTGTCCCTTCGCAAGGAGTTCCGAATATCCCCGCCCACTGGCGCCTCCAGCGCCCTCGATATGGTCATGACGAGCCTGATCAGCCCCCAGCAGTGGCAAGGCAGCCGTGTCGATACCCCCCGCGAGGTCGACAGAGACCACCTCCCCTTCGTCACACCGACCACGATGGTGGCCCATGCCGGGGCCGTGCCTGACGGTGTGGAGCGCATCGCCTCGCCAGATGGGGCCGGGGCGAGTGTGGCGGCCGTCTTGTCGTTCATCGGCGAGCAGCTCAACACCAACGGCCGTCGGCTGGTGCATCGGGGCGTGACGGACCTGCTGACATTCGTCGATCAGCTGGGAGGGGGTTTTCCGGAGGACAACGTGACGGTGGAGAAGTGCTTTCTGCTGTACAGGCCGGAGGCGATCCAATGAGGGGGCAGGGTGCGGTGGGGTGGGAGGGGCCTTGATGATCGGTTTTGTTGCCCGTTTGTTTCCCTGTTGCTGCTGGTCTGTGGCTGCTGATCGACTTGGCGTTTGGGTGGGCATCATGCTTGGATGGAATCATGAAATCAATGATGATGCTTTCATTGGGGAATGGTTGACACATAAATGGATCGATGCCTGTCAGCTCAAATGCGTATCCATCCCCCCCCATGCATTGACAGCAAAGAAGCCTTACAATGAATGCATCATGAACGACAACACACTCACAGATACGAGCGGATTGCTCTCGTTGCTGCCAATGTTGCCGGCACGCACAGATGGACCACATACACGCCCTGCACACACGCATGCATCATTTGAGCCATTTGTGGCGACTCAAACAAATCACGCCACACCACACCACACCACACAGACAGACGGAAGAAACCATTCACCGCCTCATTTGCACGCTTCATTGCTCGTCAGGCAGGGAATGGCCACACGCGACGCACAGTGAGAGAGAGAAGAAGAAGGAAGAGAGAGACGCACTACAGAAGCTCATATCAAGAAAGGCAAACGGACGTCCTCACTTCAACACATCAATCCCTCCCCCTGTCGCCATCTACATTCGATCGTACACACTCTACACGGCTAACTAGGCCGCACAGTTTGTCAAAAGCACCGGCTTGTCGTTCCAAGTCACCGGCTGGTTGTTCAGCAACGCCGACCTGTCCTGCCCTCCATACGAAGAGGACGCCTTGGTGTCCGATCCGCCATTAGTCGTGGTCTCCTGGTCGGTCGTGGCTGGCTGCTCCATCTCCACCACGGTGTCTGAGTTGGCCGCTGAGGGGGCGGCAGCCGTCGTGGTGCTGACGGCCAGCAGCTTGGTCTTGGGTGCGAGGGAGGCCACAGCCTCTATGAAGCGGATCGTCATGTTGTTGCTCTTGCCGGTATTGGCCGTGTACCTGCAGAAGCCGATGGAAAGGAACCTAGATACCAACCAAGTACACCGTGCATGGCCATGTGTACCTGCCACTGATGTGCGAGTGCTCGCGGTTATCGAAGCGGCCGGTGACGTCCACGTGAAGGTCGCCGGTGATGGCCTTCTCACCCCACGACAGCTCCAGGGTCGTCGTGTTGTAGAAGCCCTCCACCTTGAAGGCTCCGTCTTTGTCGATTCCCTCGCCGTTTACCGTGCCGTCGTACTCGAATGCGAGCATATATTTGGTCGTCCAGCTCTGGTCGTCCTCGATGTACCTGCCGACCCACTGGCCAGACGGAGGGGGCGTGGCGGTCGATTTGGGCTTGATACGCTCCTTCCGGTTGTTGGCGGCGAGACTGTCTGCCGTGGACGATAGACACCCGACGAGGCAAGCGAAGAGGCAGACGAAGCCTAAAACGCCGCCGATGATGCCAGCAACCACGGCGCCAGACGCGCCGTCACCACCACCACCTCCTCCGCCGCCAACAAACCCGCCTCCACCACCACCTCCACCGCCCCCTCCGCCGCCACCCTTCAATCTGCGGCCCTCAGCATCGACGAGAGCCGGGATGGCCGACAAGAGCACCGCAGCGGCCAGCACCGACACCGGAGGACGGACAGAGAAAAGGGACTGATGCTTGCCCTAAACGCTGATGCTCCCTCTTACGGCAACCGCCCCACGCGATCCATCCTGGCGACGCACGAGCGCAGAAAGAAGAACAAGCAAGTGCGCGCCTGCGAGGACCTGTCCATGACCTTCACCCCTCTGGTCGTCACCGTCGATGGGGTGTGGGGGAGGGAGGCGGAGCACTTCTTCACCCGCTTGACTGAGCAGCTGTTGACGAGGCAGGGGTGGTCAGATAGGGGGCGAGGGCGGGTGCATGGGTGGCTGCGTGCTCGTTTGTCTGTTGCATTGGTGCGGGCTGCTAGCCTGTGTTTGAGGGGCGGGAGGCAGTCATGGCGTGGTGTTGGGGCGATGGACGGGGCTGGGGTGTTCTCATCGGATGAGTGAGCGTGCCCTTTGTGCATAGGCATATGTGGATAGATTCATGGAGGCGATTTGGGCAAGCGAGTGCATGGATGCCATCTGTCAATTATCTCTTCCTGAAAAAAACAGAGAAAAGGGGCAACATCGCCATTTCTCTCGACTTGACAAGTCCCTTTCGGCGATGACCTCGATGACTTTGCAGGACGTGGCAGCTACCCTGAGACGACAAGAGAGAGGAGCCTGGTCGACACGAGCAGCGAGGATAGAGAGAACAGAGAGAGAGCGAGTCGTTGATGAAGATGGCAGATCCGGGCTGCTGGCCGCTGCCTCTGCTCAAAGGCGCCCGATTCATGCCTCTGCAGTAGGAAGAGCGAACTCGCACAGGGACTCGAGAGAGCGGTTTCACGGAATCGGCCCGAAGCGCAAGAGCGGTTTCCTGGGCTTAATCGAAGAACGAGAAGAAAAAGGAGCGAAGAAGGCGTTCCACATTGACTTTGAAGCGGCCGATGGTCACAGGTACGCCAAAAAGCGAAGTCTTTCGCATCTTCTCAATTGTGTGCTTCGCAGTGAATGCGAATGCCTGACCCCCTCCCTCCTCACGGCTCCTTGTCCAACGACCAGCGCCAGCCGCCCCGTCGGCAATGCGATACTTGACTTCCTCATTGCAAAGCGCGAATCCCGTCTGCCCGTGACAGGACTTAGTGCCGTCCCACTTTGTGCTGCCATATGACGGGTTGGCTGTCTTTCCAGTGGTGGCGGGGGACGCCGCAGCCGTACTGCCGAGTCAACGATATCGAGAGCGGCCTTCTCGCATCTGCTCAAGTCAACGATGCCGATGAGCTGTCATCTTCTCTTCAATTGTCATCGGTTCTCGTCACGGGCAACGACGCTGCTGCCGTTACTGCTGCTGGTGGGGAAGAGCGGGTGCTTCCTCCTGACGTCTATGGGCGCGCTTCCCTCTCTTTCCTGAGTGTCGCCGAGCTGCTGAGAGCCCGAGCAGTCAGCAAAGCGTATGGAACGGAGCTGATAGATGCGGCTTTCATTATGCAGCGCATCGACTCGTACCTCGCCCAGCAGGACCTCACCGGCCTCATCGATGTCGAAAGACACCGCACAGACATCGACTACTTTTCCCGATGCGCCTATCTCATCGAACAGGCGAATCGGGCGAGTACTCTCATCAGAATGGCGAACAGCTGTCGACTCATTGACAATCAGCTGCCCCTGGTGCTGCCTGCTGAGTGTGTGCTGGCCGATCTGCCGGACAAGACGACCTTTCATCGGCTGCCCACGACCATGGCAGTGTATAAGACGGTTGGCCAGCTATTCGGCGGTGACAGTGAGCGTGGAGAGAATAACACTGCTGCCGTGGGCCTGCGGATAGAGGAGAGTGAGAGGCTGAGGGTTGAGACCTTCCCAGAGATGGACTCCCCACTTTGGATTCTTGGCCTCTATTGCCCGGTGGTGTGGACCTTCGTTTGGTGGATATGTGTGTGTATGTGTATCCGAGTGTGCGACTCTGCATTTGGGGATTACATCAAGGCAATGGAAGACACCTGGTACTTGGACTGCCTTTTGGTCATCCTTCAGATGATCTTTGCGGCTGTCGCGACGCTGGGGCTCGTTGGGCCTTTCTTCTGCTTTATAGAGCTTTTGACGGCCAGATGGCGTGTCGTGCAGTGGTGCAGCATCGGCGGGCGGCGATTCCGGGCGGCTTTCAGAGACGAGTTACCAAATGCAGATGACCTCCGGATCCCCCCGCAGGCCAATCACATCACTGATGGGCAGTCATACAGGGCGACTTACTGGGACAGAGACCCGGCAGTCCTCTGCGGCGCCTCTACTCATCCGTCATTCACCACTTTCGCCCTCCACACCCTCATCATGGCTACCAAAAGAAGAGTGCTCCTCGACATGCGGCTGGAGCACCAGGCTTTTCAGCAGCTGACGCGTCATGGGATCACTGCCGATGAACACGACGTGATTCTCATCGAGTGGCGAGACGACCGCCCGTTGAGGGCCACTGCGAAGGACTGTGAACGAATCATGATCGTGCTACTCATGGAGGATGACAAGGTGGGTGGACCTGCCGTGGCATCTCTGAAGCTTCGTGGCAATCGGCGGCTGGTGCTCAAGACAAACGAGAGGGAGGTGATGGGTGGCTGGACGCTGGACGAACGGTTTCCCTTGACCATGTCTCGCATGCGGCAGCTGCTGAAACGATTCGAACTCGAGGATACCGTACTTGGCCCGACGTGAATCGAGTGTCTCCGTGTGCGTGTGCGCGTCAATAAGGAAGACAGACAAGAGACACGGACGGAGGATTGCATGGAGTCGAAGCAATATATGGAGTGGAAGTCGATTGCATGGAGAATCACGACTTGATCGATAATGATATGGAGTCGAAGCAAGTGTTTCTTGGTCGGCATCCTTGCCCCCCCCGTGGCTCGGCCGACCAAGAAACACGAATGAATGCAATTCATTTCGGCCTTTGCGATGCTCGATGAGCTTTGTGGTACCACGTTCATTGAATGAATGATCCATACATAAACGCATGACTGTCACCTCAAATCTCTCTATCCCTCCCACACATGCACAAAATGACGGTGTTGACAACGTCGTTGACAGCAAAGAAGCCAAGCCTTACAATACACCACAAACAGCAACACGCATGCAGGCAGACGCGAGCGGATTGCTCGGATTGCCGCCACTGCACACGTAAGTACGGATGAACCTACCTACCTACCTACGCGCACTACATATTTTGAGCCCTTGTATCGACTCAAATCACACCAGGCCACCACACACAAGGGCCAGCCTCCACTAAACAGTATACGCGTTCGCCAGGAGAAAAAAACACGCAGGACAACGCACACACCCACATAAGAGAGGGGGACATGTTCACACACGCCCCTGCCTCTCCTGCCTTCCCTTCGGCCCTCCCTCCCTCCCTCTCTCTCTGTCCCTCTGGATCGATCCTACCAGTCAGCTACGCACCAACAGCGGGGTTGTCCAAGTCACCGGCTGGCCGTTCAAAAGTGCCCCTTGTCCTGTCGTGATGGTGGTCATGACCGGCGGGCTGGTCCTGGGTGCGACGGAAGGCACGGCCTGCTGGAAGCGGATCGTCATGGTGTTCCTCTTGCCGGTATTGGCGATGTACCTGTCGCCAACCACAGAAGCCGGATGCCAATCAAGCACACCGTGCACGCGGTATGTATTTGTGTACCTGCCCCTGATATGCGACTGCCAGCTCTCATCGAACCTTCCGGTGACGTCCACATGAAGGTTGCCATTGATGGCCTTCTCGCCCCACGACACTTCCCCGGTCGTCGCGTTGAAGAAGCCCTCCACCCTGAAGGCTCCGTCTGCGTCACTTCCCTCGCCGCTCAGAGTGCCGTCGTACTCGAACGTGAGCATATAGGTGGTGATAAAAGTCTGGTGGTTCTCGGTGTACGTTCCAATCCACTTGCCAGACTCAGGGGGCGTGGCTGTCGGTTCTGGCTTGATACGCTTCTGCCGGTTGTTGGCGAGCCAGATGGGCCTGTGCCACATCACATACTTGACGATGAGAATGATGGCGAACACCAAGATGGCACTGATGAGGAAGCCGGTGTCGCTCCCAGTTGATATCACGTATATTCCTCCACCACCGCCGCCCCCTCCTCCCTTCCTAAGGCCGCCGTCCGCATCCACAAGGAGCATCGCAGTGGTAAGTAGCACCAGAGGACGGCCGGTCGAGAGGGGCAGCATCGCCGGCTCTTCGGCTTGAGAGGTTCCTTGATGAGGTAGACAAGCTTGTTGGACGTGGCAGCCGCCCTGGGACAGCTGTCGGCGCGAGGGGAGAGAGAAAAGAGAGATCTCGGGGCGATAGATGCGATGATGAAGATGGCAGATCCATTACTGGCGGCCACTCCTTGTCACAGTCTGGCTGGAATGCCTGCCAGGAGTTGCTTGGGGCCCTCGCGATCTTTGAGCCTGCGCGGCTGGGGTGCTCCTGAAACCTCTGCTGCAGGAAAAAACGTGAAACCGCTCGCAGGAACACGTACTCAACGAAACCGCTGCAGGAAAAGGTACAGGATAAGCGCTCACGCACGTACAATGCATGGGTTGACTGCGTTCATTCAAGCGCTGGCTCTGCTGCAGATCTTTGCTTTTGCGAGGGAGATCTTGGTCCGTCAGCCGCTAGGTAAGCCCACCTCAATGAATGGGACAATTCAAGCCAGCCGCCATGCAATCAAAGCGCTGCCGAAGGTGGAGCTGCACGCGCATCTCCACGGCAGCATCAAGCAGCAGACTCTGCAGCGGCTGCTGGCCGAGAGACGACCCTCCGACGACCGGCTGGCAGACGTGAGCTTCGACCTGTTCCACATCGACTCGATAAGGGACCTCGACAAGTGCTTTGTGTACTTTGAGTTGGTGTATTTGCTGGTGGAGGACGAGCAGACGGTGCAGCAGATCACTCAGGAGGTGCTGCGGGACTTCTATGAAGATGGCGTGAGATACCTGGAGCTCAGGACGGTGGGTGCGTCACATGCATGCATGTGGCTCATCTGTCTGTGTTTTCTGTCTGTGTTTGGTGTGTGTGTGTGTGTGTGTGTGTGCAGACGCCTAAAGCGAATGAGCGGACTGGGCTGACGAAGGATTCGTACCTGCAGACACTCGAGCGGGCTATCGAGTGGGCGAAAGAGGCCCTGCCAGACATGCAGGTGGGCAAAACGGGATATGGATCAGTGAAGCCATGCAGTGGCTGTAGCTCTGCGGGTGTGTGAGTGCAGGTGTATCTGCTGTTGTCTGTGAATCGTGCCCGATTGACGAGTGCCGAAGATGCGAGGAAAGATGTGGATGAGCTGCTGGACCTGGCCATCAAACACCGGTCCCTTGTGGTCAGCTCAGCGCACTCAGACAGCAGGCAGGCAGGCAGGCAGGCAGAGATATGGTGAGTGGGTGTTGCTGCTGGGGACAGGTGGGTGTGGATATCTGTGGCAATCCCGCCAAAGGCGACCTCTCGTTGGTGCTGCCCCTCTTGCGCAGCCGGCTGTACGATGACGCGCGGTACCACCACCTCAAGCTCACCGTACACACGGCAGAGGTGCACACACACACACACACACACAGGCAGGCACGCGCCCAGACGCATTCTCCGCGTTCAGATGGCCAACACCGATACGGAGAATGCGGCCATTCTGGAGCTCAACCCGCAGAGGCTCGGCCATGTGTGCTTCCTGGTGCGTGCAGGGGTAGACGCAGTAGTGTAGCCGCGGCGACACATCCCACTGTCGCCGCCACATGTGTTGCCTTGTTGTCTGTATGGATGCAGAGTGATGCGCACAGCGAGTTGGTGGCCCGCGAGGGGAGGGCGATTGAACTGTGTCCCACGTCCAACAAAGTCGCCATGGACCTGACGTATGAGGGCGGACACATACGGAGAGCGACAGAAAGAATGGGATGCATGTGGTCGTCATGGGTGTGTGTGTGTGTGTATGTGTGTCAGGACGATGGAAGACCACCACTTCGGGTACTATTACAAGGAGAGGAGGCACCCCGCCATCAGCATATGCACCGACGACACTGGCCTGTTCTCCACCACCCTCACAGACGAGCTCCAACATCTCGCACAAGTGAGTGACCGACCGATCAAAACCACACACGACGCAATGTGTGCACTCATCTGTGGTGTCTCATTCAGGCATTCGATCTCACTTTGGACGACATATGGTCCCTTCAGCAGAGCGCATTCAAGTCCTCCTTCGCCCCGCCCGAGGCGCGTCAGCGGCTGGGCGAGCGGTTCTTCTTTCGACCGCTGAGCGATGTGTGTGGTGGGTGTGGTGGGGAGAATAATGCCGGCGATGAGAGGGGGGTGGCGGAGGGGTGTGAGGGGGAGAGGGGCGGGTAGACGGCCTCTCTTGGGCCTTAGTCGGTTGTGTGTGTGTGTGAGTGTGTGTGTGATTTGGGGCGTATGAATGGTGTATGGATCGATGGCCGATGAGCAGACGGCCAAGTATGTGTACGCGCGTTTGTGAAAGGAGTGCAGTGAGTGCATCATCAGACAGACACTGAATGAATCCATTCAGTCATTCAGTCAGCAATGGCGATGTCATGTGTTGATCCATCCATCCATCCAATCCAGCAGGCAATGGTAGATATGTACACACAAGCCAACACAACCTCCTAGTCACACACACATCCACATGGATGCATCTGAATTCGCAAGCTGGCCATCTAGCCATCTATCTGTCTATCTTTCCTATCCTCCATCGAATCTAAGTCGCCTCAGCGACTCACTCAGTCGTCCTCTCCGTCATTGTTCTGAGACGACTCCGCCTCAGACTTCTTGCGCTTCTTGGCTTTGGCCTTGGCCCGCTGCCGCTTGGGGGCCGGCTCGGGGATGTCCCTCTCGGGCAGCGTCAGCGACGCCGGCGCGTAGAGGGCCCGGAGGTTGTCGAATGTCTGGCAACCGATGGCAGATCCAATCAGTGCACACAGAGAACACACAGAATGAGTCGCATTTCGTGTGGGGGGTGAGGGTGGAGGGTGTTGACCTTTTCTATGACTGGGGGTCTGAATCCCTTGGCGGCTTTCTGGTTGAGTCGCAGCATGTCGATGGCGAAGAGCTTCAGGTGTCTTGTGATGGTCTTGTTGTTGGGCGTGGCCATCAGGCCGTGGTACAGCGCCCAAGGGGTCGGCCACTTGCTCACCAACACCTCGACGGCCTTGACGCCACAGCCCGCCACCTGCACACAATAAGAGAGAACACTTTTCCTTTTGTCTAGCGCCCTTCTCTCTCTTTCCCTCGCTGTGTGTGTGGGGCGGCAGAGGGTACCTGGCCCAGATGCCGTCCAAACGTCTGTGTCGTGGTGAGGCCGACGTGCTTCTTGACCACCGCTTCCCACTCGGCAAACTCCCACGTCGCGACACACGACGTGTGCCGCAAGGGGCTACGGATGGCACGCGACACGGCAGCCGTCACCCTCATGTGGAGCTTGGCCAACACCTCACAACTGAAGCAAAGAGGGAGGGAACGAGATAATGTGGGTGCGAAGGAGGGAGAGGGAGGGGCATGGGGGCGTACGTGCGTCTGGAGTTGTGTGTGAGGATCACGTTGAGGCCGGTGATGAGTTGGGTGTGGGTGATGGCTGTCGATCGGGCGCTGTCGTCGTCGCCGTGGAAGCGGCGCTGGCCGATGTCCCACATGGTCTGCTGGAACTGCTCCTCTACCAGGTAGATCACCTAAAGACACACACACACACACACGCGTGCACAAGGTGTGTAGGTGAGTTGGTTTCCGTGTGTGTGTGTGTGTGTGTGTTTGCCTGCTTGATTCCCGGTGCACGAGACAGCCGATACTTCTGCTCGTGATACCTGACACACACAAAACACACCCGCGGCCATAATGCAGCCGATCGGATGTGTGTTTCCATCCGCCCTTCCCTCCCTCCCTCCCTGACCCACCTGCCATCGACAATGCTCGAGTCCAAATCGCCCACCGTCTTCCTCTCCACCGCCCACCCCGCCACCCACTCCCCATACCCACTCCCATCCTGACGCGCCCCCCGCACCACCCACACAAAGTCACCCAGGGCCAGCACCTTCGTCTCTGCCTTCACCCCCCGCCGCTGCAGTTCATCCAGCGAGAACTTGTGCCTGGTGGTCTCGCGAGTGTCGACGAGCAGCACCACGTCGAGCGGCGACCGGGGGTCGATCGCCGCGCTGCCTGACGGGCGCATTGGCACGATGTCCCTCGTGACTGGGAGGGAGGGGGGCGGGGGAGGGAGGGGGGGTAGCGGATCTGCTGCAGCTACTGCTCCTGATCCCGATGCTGGTGCTGCTGCTGCTGCTGCCGGACGGTCCTCCTCGCCCCCCATCATCATCATATCTAGGTCGTCATCGACATCGCCGGGAAAGGGTGGCACGGGTGGTAGATCCACCCCCACCCCCCCACCCTTGCCCTTGCCCTTCTTGTTCTTCTTCTGACGTGGCGGCGATGGCGCGTCCGACCGCTGAGACTGCGAGAGGAACGGCGCCCCGGCCGGTCCTGGTCGTGGTGGGTCGTCACACTGCGTGAGGCCAAGCAGCGGCAAATCGATGTTGGTGACGAGCGGTGCGGCGACGGCCTCGCCCTCTCGGGTGAGTGAGTATGCGGGGACAGGCTTGGGGGGTTTGCTGCCGGGCGGGGCGGGGGAGGGGAGACGGGGAGAGGACATCACTAGGCGCTTGTCTATCAGCTTCCTGAAGTTGGCCGGGGTGGGCTTGACCTCGAAACTAGGGAGAGCCTGATTGGAGAGACAGACAGACAGAGAGCAGCGCACAGCTCATGTGGTGGCTGTCGGGGCTTCCATCGAATCGGGCATGCACATGCCCCTCACTCACTCACTCACTCACTCACTCACTGACCTCTCTGAGCTCCTGTGCGGCGGTCTTCATCTCTTCTGCCGTCATTCGACCGCCGTCATGCTTGTGCCCATGGGCATACAGGCACACGAGCAGCGACCACACAATGGTGCCTTCCTTGGGCCGGAAGGACGCCGCCAGGCTATCGGCATCCGCCCCGCCGCCCTCCCCCTCATCGCCCATGCCGCCCGGCCCTCTGCCGTACATCTGGCTGAGCTCTGCCGCCTTCTTCTGCGCCCATTTCAGGACGTCCTTGCGGTGGGCCTCTATGTCGGCCTCAGTGGGGTCTCTGTAGGGGTTGGGCACCATGGCAGCCAGCTCATCGGGATCCCTGAGTGAGAAGGGCAGCGCAGCAGAGGCACAGAGGGAGGGTGGTGTTTGCGTGTGGGGGTGGTGGTTGTGCTGTATGGTGTGGTGTGGTGTGTGGCGCTTTTACGTGTCGAAGATCTCTGCTCGTTGTGCGCCGACGCCCCCGATCCAGCGCTTGGCGTAGGCGCCGCTTACCACGGGCAGCGGGAAGGAATACAGACTCTTGACCACCTGGGCATACACAACACAACACAACACATGCATCCACCGACATATGAGTGAGAGCCTCCCTCCCTCCCTCCCTGCCTGCCTGCCTGCCTGCCTGCCTGTTCCGTTCCCTCCCTACCTGTCCCAGCCCCTTGGCAGCGTTTTGTCGCCCTTCTCGGTTGGCCTTGTCCCCCTCCGTCTGGTGGTAGTTGATCAGCTGCCAGTTCTCGGGATGCCCGCCCTTGGGCACATCCTTTCTTCTCTGAGCACCAGCTGCTGCTGTCGCTGCTGCTGATGTCGCCTGCATCCCGCAGTCAGCGTCCATCTTGTTGAGAAGGCTGCGGAGAGGCGGAATGTATGCGGCAAGCAAACGTGTGATGAATGCTTTCATCCACCATGGGCCGCATCTCGTCTACGGGAAAGTCATTGTCAGGCCTCCCATGTCCTTTCGAGGGCTTTTTTTCTCACCCAACGATCCACCCACCCAAAGCGTTTCACGCGGAATTCTGAAATCCCTTCTCGAGAGAACCCCCCTTCCGTCGTGCAGGTGGCCACGATGCTGTCTGCCCTGGAGCAGAAGCACTCGGAGGTACGAAACATTGACCTTTTGATTCATTGGAAGGAGGCCTGCCTTCCTTCCCTCTCGCTCTTGCTTGCCCTGTGGTGGTCCTTGCAGATCAGCTGCCTGATGTACCGCTTGTCCGCACTGGACGCGTCAGATCTCTCATCGCACGTATGTCTGTCTGGACATCTGCCTGCACGATAAGGACGGGTTCACACGCTCTGCCGCTGTCCGATTGTGTGATTCATGAATGCAGGATTGTTCGCTCCACATGATAGCTGCGTTGGCTCAGTACGCCAAGTTGAAGGCCTCGCTCAAGGCCCTCGTCAAGTCGGCCACCTTCCCTCAGCCACGCACTGATGCATCGGTCAGTGAGCATACAAACCGATACAATTCCGAGCGAATGCGCTGTTTCTGTCTGTTATGGTCAGGCCAAGCTAGGTGACCTGTCGGCCGACGCTATGGCTCGTCTGCAGACATCGACAGACCTGCAGTCTGTCGGCCGCCTCAAGACGACTGCACCACTCAACTATCACCTCAAGATGGCCCTGCGTCGCCGGCTGACCGTCGCCGTCCACAAGGCGGGTCTGACGGGCGTGTTGCGGTTTGCGCCTCAGCTGGGCGGCGGCGGTGTGATGAAGGCGCTGTGGCTGATGGAGGAGGGGGGCAGCTGGGGAGAGGTGGGCAATGGACTGCGGGTGGCGCGTCAGTGTGGCTACTGCCAACTGCCCGTCACCGTCGACGCTGTAGACCTGCAGAAGCACGACACCAAGACGGTAGGGGGAGAACAGGGTGCATCCATCGTCGTGTGTTCCTGCGTGTCAGGCCTATTTGTCGATGCCCCGTGTGACAGCCCAGTGGATGGTCGTCAGTCGGCACGTGGACTTCCGTCGTGCCAATGGCCAGCAGGACGGCACCTTCGAGCTCTTCCGTGACAACGCCACCAACGAGATCCGCGCCATTCGCAACCAGCCCGACTTCGCCATCACTCGCAACCCGCCCCTGCCCACCACTGCCGTGCATCCCCTGCAGCAGCACCCCTTCCAGCAGCATATCAAGCCAGACGACCCACCCGTCCAGTCGGCCATCTGGTTCGACGAACTGGACGAGGCGGACGGGGCGGATGATGAGCTCCTTCATTGTGTACGTGATCATCCACCATTACTATAAGAGCGGTGTCCAGGTCCACACCATGCGTATGGACATCGCTCGGTAGGTTCTCTCCGGGGGCACATATCGGACGTAGAGTGGATCGCTGTCTGTCTGTGTGTGCATGTGTAGTGGCGTGAGGGGCGGCTATCTGGACGGCCTGCTGACGCGGTCGCCCCACACACCGCTGGAGGGATGTGCAGCCGTCACAACGGGGGAAGAGGTCGATGGACATGTGTGTCAGTTTCATCTGCTGACGGCATTCGACGACCCCTTCGTAGCGTCAGTCGAATTCAGAGTCAGACCTGACGACCGTCAGAACGGTGAGTGAGAGCCGCGAGTGCAGACAGACAGGCAGACAGTCTCAGTGTCTGTCCCTTCTCTCATGTGGCAGTGATTGTCTTCGTAGCGACGACTGAGCAGCCGGTGGGCAGTCCGAACGATCCGCTCCCCGCCAGACATCAGCGCACGGCAGCCCTGGCTCGGCGGTCGTTGGGCCCGGTCGCACCGGTCTTGCTCGACGGACAGGCGCCGTAGAGGACAGACACACAGATGACACAACACGGTGAGGGCAGCCAGGACGATGCAAAAGAGGCCGCTGCACGCCCCTCATGTCTGTCTCTCTGTCGTGTGTGTGTGTGTGGTCTCTCGTCTGCCTGTGTCGCAGCTGGTGGTGGTCGTGGTGATGTGGTCGCATCAGTAGCTGGGTGTGTTCAGAGGGATGGCTTATCCATCCGGTGGGTTTGTCCATGCTTGTCTGTGAGTAGACTGGTCGGCAGGGCAGCTGGGGCGATCAATGACAAGGCGTGAAGATGTGAATCCACACACATGCACGTATGGCGACTGCACGCCCGAGTCACTCGTCAATCAACATGTACCCACACACACCAGGCCATGCAAGTAGCTGGCCACACACACACATACACACACACCTCTCACAGTGGACAGACGCCTCACGAAGAAATAGATCATCCGGATGTCTGCCGGCTCCCCTCAACATGCATATATCCCTCCCCTCCCCCCAACACACACATACAACACATGACAGACAGGACACCGTTGACGGCAAAGGAGCCAGCCCTTACAACAGGAACAACACCACACAATGCACATCGCGCGTATTGCTTTGATTGGTCGTAATAAAACCGACAACCGACACACGCATCACTTGAGCCACTTATGTTGACTCAGTCATACCAGCCCACCACACAAACACGCACACACACACACACACACACAGAGAGAGAGAGAGAGAGTGACGTCCTCGAGATTACACCACACCACAAAAGACAGAACCGCCACAACGGAGAAATGTACCCTTACAGACCGCCACACACAGCCACACACAGACAGTTTGGCACACATGCACCACGCACCCCTGCCAGCCAGACTATCAGCTGCACATTAATCCAAACATACATACCTACATTACGCCAACGAATTAGGCCGCCTCTTCTGCCAAAGCCACTCACTGGATCGGTGTTCAGCAACCGATTAGGAAGACGCCGTGGTGTCCGATCCGCCACTAGTCGCTGCCTCCTGGTCGGTCGTCATCGGCTCCATCTGCACCACAGTCACTGCGGTGAGCGCTGAGGGTGCGATAGGCGTCGTCACGCTGACGGCGGTTGGCGGCTTGGTCTTGGGGGCGAGGGCGGCCACAGCCTTCTGGAAGCGGATCGTCATGGCGTCGCTCTTGCCGGTATTGGCCGTATAGCTGCAGAAGCCAATGGAGAAAAACCCGGATGCCAATCAAGTACACCGTGCAGTTCATCCCTTATGTGTGTGTGCGTGTGTACCAGCCGTCGATGGACTGCCAGCTGTCCTGGTCGAAGCGGCCGGTGACGTCCACGCGGAGGTACAGCTTGCCGGTGATGGCCTTCTCACCCCACGACAGCTCCCCGGTCGTCGCATTGTAAAACCCCGCCACCCTGAAGTCTCCGTCTTTGTCGCTTCCCTTCCCCCTGACGCGGCCGTCGTACTCGAATGTGAGCATGTATTTGGTCGTCCAGCTCTCGCCGTTCTCCTCGAAGGTGCCGACCCACTGGCCGGACTGAGGGGGCGTGGCGGTCGGTGTGGGATTGATGCGCTCCTCCCGGCTCTTGGCGAGACGATGATAGGGGACGCACCTCTTGGCATAATGGAAGATGAGATAGACCACGCCACTGACCGGGAGGCAGATCATGAAAACAATGAACCAAGTAGGATGTTCACCACCACCACCTCCTCCGCCAACAAACCCTCCTCCACCACCACCTCCACCTCCGCCACCGCCGCCTCCCTTCAATCTGCGGCCCTCAGCGTCGACGAGAGTGGGGATGGAGAGCACCGCAGCGGCCAGAAGAAGCACCGACACCGAAGGACGGCGGCAAACGAAGACGGGCGCCATTTCTTCAGCTTCAGAGAAATGCCTCTCAGAGATGAGGGACGCAGATTAGGAGCTTGTTGATATATTTGATGTGGCAGCAGCTCCGAGACAGCTGGGGCTTGTGAGACGAGAGGAGAGGAGCGCTGTCTGCCAAGAAAGAAGAGAGGATGGCGGAGAGAGAAAAGAAAAACCGGCAGATCCAGGCGACTGGCTGCTGCTGCTGCTTCTCACTTCTCTCTTACCACGTGGGGCTGCGTATCCCCCTCCGTATCGCCGCCATCCGGTCGCCATCTCTTAGCTCGCAGATCTTTCCCTTCCTTCGCACTCCCTCTGTGTGGCGATGTGATGGCTGCATATGCATGTGGATCCGATAGATCTGCCCATTTTCTTGTTTCAATTCGTCATTTCTCGTTCCTTGTCCTTAATTGTCGCAGGCACCTACCGGCGTCATCTGGGTGGAGCCGACGGACAGCAGGTGTTCGTCGCGAACCCATCCTTCTCATTCGACAGAACGGACAGGCAAGAAATCACCAGCCGAGGCTGAGCTGACACCAGCCGAGGCTCAGCTGATCATGTCTGGACGCTTGTGTGTCGTCTGCGTGATGCTGTGTCCACCCATTCCAGCGGCGCACATGTGGAAGATCTGCGTGTGTTGTGCGGCGCTTCGTCTCTCTACGTGTGGTCAACTGCTGCTGGACGCGCAGGAGACGACAGGAGTGAGCAAGGCACAGCCGACGGCATCTCGAGGTGTGCACCAGTGTAATGTGTGTGTATGTATGTATGTGAATGGTCTGTCAGGGTTGTATGAGGGTTGATTTTGTGTGGTCCGTCCAAGAGACAGCTTGTACGCCATCGATCAAGACGGACGTATCGGGATGGCTGGGATGTGGGTGCAGCTGGGTGGGTGCTGTCTGGGTGATAACGGAGAGGCCGAAGGAATGCTGTTTGGTGTGGCCTTCATGCCGTCCCGGTCAGGGCGACGACGAGCACCTCCCTCACAGACAGGGATCCATATACTGCAGCCATCTACCTACTTCCTCACTGACATACATACACGTCCATAAAGGCATGAGTGGGCGTACACCTGCCCTCCCTCCCTCTCTCCCCCCTCCTTTTACTGGCTCGCCAGAGTGCTAAGCTGTCCAGCTCCCGTACACGATTGTGTGAGGTGTTTGGCTGGGCCGTGCGTATCTTGGCCCGTTCCTTCGTCGGTTTGTTGAGTGCATGCCTCTCTGAGAGTCGTGAGTGTCTCTTCGATGACTGATTGCACTGACTGCATCCATGGATGGACCATCATGATGTCTCAACGTCTGTCCACGCAACACAATATGACTGACTGTGTGTTGATGATCTGTGCAAGCCAATGAGAATGCGCCCACCTGACACTCACAATCTGGCACATCCATCCATCCATCGGCCCCATTGCAGCGATATTCGCATGCCGATTGCGAGCTAATATCTGCAGATGTTTGTTTGTTAACGGGCACCTAGGCCCCGGCCCCTGAGGGCAGATGGTGTGTCCAATCAATGCGTCCGTACGTCTAACGTGGCCAGCGCTCAGATGAAAAATCGGCCACTGCTCGTTCTTGAAAAAGAAAGCAAGACACGTCGCCAGCCAACAGCACAGAACATCCAGACAGGAACAGCCAGACAGCAGAGGAAAGTGGAAACTGTCATTAACCGTAACACTCGTCTGTGTGTCCTTGATACTCATACAAATACAGTCCCATCAGCACGCAGACTCAAACAGGCTCAAGGGGAGGAGGGATCAATCCCCGCCCCATCAGCACACCCCAGTCCCGCAAACCCTCCCCTCCCTCCCCCACGCAGAC